CCCAACTCAAAAAAAAAAAAAAGAGCAAGACCTCAAGGATCATACTGCTTAAATTCTGGCACTTTCACTTTCCAGTTGCAATTTCAGGTTAAGTTTCATAACCTCTGCTGTAATTTTTTTTCCAGTTGGAGTCTCACTCTGTTGCCCAGGTTAGAGTGCAGTAACACACTCACGGCCACCGCAGCCTTGATCTGCTGGGCTCAGGTGATCCTTCTGCCTCAGCCTTCCAAGTAGCTGGAACCACAGCCACGTCCCACCATACCCAGGCTAATTTTTTGATTTATTGTAGAGATGAGTTCTTGCTAAATTGCCCATGCTGGTCTTGAACCCCTGAACTCAATCTTCTTGCCTCTGTGCTGAGATTACAGGCATGGGCTGCCACGCATGGCGGGTACTATAATTATTAAGAGTTAAATGTACATAGAGTGCTTAGGGGACTGACTGACTTAGTGAAGGCTTGATGGTGGTGATAACTTGTTATATTATACATTAGCCTTTCTTTTCTTTCTTTTTTTTTGAGTCAGAGACCCACTTTGTTGCCCAGGCTGGAGTGCAGTGGCATGCTCACGGTCACCGCAGCCTCGACCTGCTGGGCTCCAGCGATCCTTCCGCCTCAGCCTTCCGAGTAGCTGGAACTACAGGCGCGCGCTACCACACCCGGTTAATTTTTATTTTATTTTATTGTAGAGATGAGGTCTCGCCAACTTGCCCAGGTGGGTCTCGAACCCACGGGCTCAGGCAATCCACTCACCTCAGCCTCCCAAGGTGCGGGATTACAGGCTGAGCCACCGAGCCCGGCTTCAGCTAATTATTTACTGTAGCGTTGAGGTCTTGCCAAATTGCCAAGACTAGTCTTGAACAAGTGAGCTCAGGCAATCCTGTCACCTTGGCCTCCCAAATGCTGGAATTATAGGTGTGAGCTACCCCACTGGACCACTTAAGCCCTTCTTAAAATTCATTTCCTTTTACTGTTAACTATTCAAACCTTAAACGATCCTATTAAATTAATGGCATATTTCTCTGCCCATTGCTA